TGTGGAGTAGAATGCGATGGCTTAGACGGTCGAATACCTTTGAAAACTCCAGGTAGACCGCGTCGACTCCTACATGTAATGAAACACTCTCGTCCCTTGATCGCTGCGGCCCAGAGGAGTATCGGTTATCACTCGCTCGACCATCAATTCTTCATTAGTGAATATCCGGTCCAATATGGATGGCCTGTTAGTTCCCTGAATCTGGTGGGTGTAGTGACGTGGCCATAAAGCGGGAAGTCTGAAACCAGATCTTTCAGGTCAGCTTTGTATTGCTCTCTTGGTGGGCCCTGGGATTCTATAGCATGTAACTTGAAGTCACCGGTGACTAGAATGTGACTGTACTTCCTGTTTATCGCCTGCCTCAAAGCAGTCAGCATGTTGCAGTCCATCTCAGGAGTAGACGATGGTGGGCGGTAAACAAAAACCAAAAGGCCAAGATCGTTACCTTTCAGTAGGAAACTACACCAGATGGAGTCAGGTACGTTGGTTTCCGAATCGTTTATGGGTTCGCCTTGCAGGTTGTTACGAAAGCAGAGGGCTACCCTACCACCTTTCCTGGCTCGATCCTTCCGGACAACGGACATGTATGTTAGCACGATTTCAGCATCCGTTATCTCACAGCACAACCACGTTTTGGTGACAGCGTTGAGGTCCAAGCTGCTGACGAGTGTTGAAGTCTTGATTCAGCTTATTTGCTGAGTAGACCTTGGACATTTGTGTACATGCATGAGAACTTCTCGGAGACCAAAAGTATGCTAGATTGGATGGAGGAAGCAAGTGCGTTTACGCAGACCAATAAAGGGTCGGCGGCTAATCGTTTTTCGGATGGGTTGCAGACTCTCGAGACGAATTTGGGATATCGTCAGGTGTCAGATGCCCCGGATCCCGCTGTTTGCTCGTGCTCTGCGTCGTCCCTCAGGATATCATGGCTACTGTTGAAACCGTCGCTTAGTCGGGTCCTGCAGTTGGCCTTTTCATTAAGAGTTGTGCCCTCAATGAATTGTTATTAGAAGGTGCTGGTGTTCCTGCTGCTTTCAGACGAATTTCTGTTTGCACTCTACAACGGAATTTAGTCCATTTCTCTAGAAGGGTTTGTGCCGTTAGTTCTGATTGCAACACAAGTTTTAACAGTCTGGTACCACACCCTTATAGTTTGGTGATATGGGGATCCTTGTCAACAAGGTGGCCACGACACTTTCGAGAGAAAGCGCCTCACGGATGTAGTGCCATTATTCGCGGTCGTGCATCTGAGCATCGTCGGAAGGGGAATCTGTAAGCTCAGGAACACCGTGAGCAATCACTGTTTTCTTATCTTGATTTTTTCTGTGCATCTCTCTGTTAGCGGGAGCTGCTGAACGTTCTTTCCACGGGACTTCAGGTGGTATGCGCACTCCACTTGAGTCGTTGCGGAGACGATTCGCAGACAGCCGAACGGCCTCTGTCTCGCCCGTCGACTTTAATGTTACCTCAAGTAACCGGGGTTCACCGTAGTGCAATGCGTTTGGGTGACGAGAGATTCTTTTTAATGTCGTGCCATTAGTATGGACACCGATCGACGTACAGATGGAACCCCATTGATTTCGATCATCTGTCAGCCTACCCTTAATAGTATCGGATTTGGATTCGGGGACATTTGTGCACACGAGGTTTAAGGCACCATCGTTGCGCCTGGTGGCTACTGGCTTTGGATTTGGAGTTCTAGTATCTGGTGTTTTTGGTGAATTTGTGAACGGCACTGATGGGTGCCATCCGTGCAGAGACAGTTTTGTTTTCTCTAGTCCGGGCACAAGGTTACCGGTGCTCTTTCCGGTGTTTGCTTGGCGACAACCGATGCTTACGTAGCCGGGTTGTTCACTAGGGCTGATTGACTGTAGCTTACGGTCTCCTCTGTAGCGAACAGACTACTAGGTGCAACACACTGCACAGAAGTTGAGGCAGGCGCTCTGCAGACAATGTTTTTACGTATAGGAGAGAGAGTGAGAATGAAGTTGCTACTGCTGGAGGCTGAGTCGTTGGAGTTAGGATGGGACGCCTGGCTCTCTTCGTCGTCCTGACTAGGGAATTCGGAGTATTATTTTCACTTACAAGTGCAAGTCCGTTTTCTCCCATGGGTGTAAGCCTGGCGCTCACCAGTTGCTCGACCGCTTCTGTTAGTCTTGCACAGCACTTCAGTAGCACAGCTAGACAGCTAACAAGTGGGCTAGAATTGCGTACTTGGCAGATTCCAAACGCCTCTGCTGTTTTAGAGTACCGTTTTGTCGGCACGGTCCCAAGGCAGGTAGTGTGCTAGGATTTCAAGCACATGGTACACATCAGACCATATTTTACCAGTTTAGCACATGATTCGCATTTGCTCTTCACACGAGCCATGTTCGCAGTACGCGTGCTGTTTTAATGTCCTGCGTTTGTCCCTTCAGCTCCTCCATTTAAGGTAAGCGCGATTCCGCATGGTGCGCTGGCTGTCCGACTGTTCCATTGTACTCACACGTTGAAGTGTTAGTTGGTTGATCGATCGCTCTTAGGTCCGATTGGTTCGGGACCCGGTATATGAAATTACACAACGGTGAATACAGATCGCGAGATCACAGATTCCTTCACGTAGGCGTTGAGAAGCGCAGGATTGGAATAGGGTTTAGCCTGGAGAATTCTGCACCGAATGGTAGTACACAGAAGGGCGATGGGCACAAAGTGAATGAGTCATCCACTTGTGTTCATTCGCGGATGATAAGCAAATCGGCTAGTGATGGTTAAACCTTTATTTGCATAAAATAATTCCACGTATGATGGATCACTGTGTAGCACTCTTAAATCTGGTTCCAATGAGCGTGCTGTGACTACGCTGCGAGAAGATAGAGTGGATTATTCCAAATGAACCTAGAGCACGCACGTCAAACGTGTGACCCACAAGCCGCCAGAAGACACATTATCAGCGTGAAGCGGACTGCGGTCCAGCCACCGCCTTGTGTGCACTTGATTCTCCAAATACATCATGCTTGTATTTGCTTGTGAAATAGTGTGGGCCGGATCCGTTGATGATAATTGGCGCCCATCCATATGCCTCTCGGGCATATTGCTTCGGGTTTACAACGGATATGGTGTATGTGGATGGAGCTGTGGCTGATGCAGCGCAAGTCACCATGTCCCTCTGTAGGCGCAGGCGTCCTGTGGCTTGACACAGTGACAGGAAAATTCGAAGCAGGAAGCCGCTTACTATATATCTATATATATATATATATATAAGGATTGAATCATATAAGTGTGTTTATTTGCCGAGCAATATTTGTTAAAGGCGAGGAAATTCAAATATAGAGTATGAGTGCACGTATGTATGATATGCATTGAAAATAAATTAATGTAATACTACTGGTTACGCGCTTAGTTCCCAATCTGGGATGCTCGGTAACTTGAGATTTGCGTGAGCTTGCTAGTCATTTGTAAAATTGGAACCAAATTTGCGAAGGAAAACCCGTTTCCCCATAATATGAAAAATGACAATGATCTATTACGGGCTAAAAACCAGACGCTTGACATGTCCCGTAGGATATTTGGGGCGCGAGCTGCAAAATGAAAGCAGTCTTGTTTTCTATCGTTTACCGAGTTAAGTGAGTTGACAAGTAACGTCCGTGTAAAGTAAAAATTGATTGCAGGAACAACATGAGACGCAGCAATAATGACGTAAAGGATGAGAAACCTGAAACATGCTCGCTCACTCATGTACCGTCTCCTTGGATCCATGCGACCTGTAAATCCGGTAGTACGGCATGATTAGTGTAATACACAGAAGCGCGGTGTAGGTAACAAAGTGCTGAGAGCAATTGCCTCATACTGTTTTGTACGGATGTGGTCACACTGTACGAACACACCAAGATCACCTTCTTGGGAAATGATCTGCATTCTGTGTGACTCAAACCCGTGACATAGTTGAACAATGCACCATTTCTCTAAAGTGAATGGCATAGCATTCTGAAATGACCGGTTCAAAATCGTGTTAGGAACTTACTGGAGTCTTTCGTGGTCTTCCGGTCCTCTGCTCTCTCGCCATATCTTGATAAGTTTTGCAAGGAAAAGAGGATCGAAACCAATTGACCTCGCCATATCGTTTATGAAAACCAAAAAAGGCGAGGCCCTAGAATCCAGCCTTGTGGTACACCGTACTCCACGTCAATTTCCTCGAACAGCGATGCCTCAGCGGATTACAAAATGGAGCTCTTGTGCACAGTGAGTTAAAGGTGCACTTGTTTGGGGTAATTTTTGGTTTTGTGCGCCCCTAGCACTGCACTCCACTACTCGGTTCCTTTTGCACAAGTCCCATGTGGAAACAGACGAACTGACATTTGTACTCAAGACTTGGAGACTACCAGCTAACCTCGTTACTCCTACAATATCTGGTTTCGAGGATGGTGCTAGATTCTCAAGTAAGCTAGATGTTTGCAGGTAACTACTAGGGTTCGGTTCCGGGTTCCATGAACTCTAATGCGCAAACTGAGACACATGCGATGCAGTGCAGAGAGCATGCAACATCTATCATGCTCCTCAAACGCGGTCCCATTGACTGATTACCGGAAATACATCTAAAAGTAATTTGAGTCTGAAACTAAGACGGCATGCAGTAAGTAATTCAAATGCCGAATACTCCAAGTCAGTTGGCAAAGATTTGAAAGCGCACGTTCAGCAACCGTGTAACGGTTCCTGTTACTTGACACATTAGAGTCCATACAACGAAAGTTGCCATGTGTGAACCAAGACGGCCGGTCACTGACTGTTGAACCACAACAAGTGACCGAAACGGAGGGTATACTCTAGGCATGGACTAAGTTAACCCAGTGTACTGTTTACAGGATCAATTCAATCTTGTGCTTGTGTCGGCTTAGCTGATCATTCGATCATAAAACCTCTCATATCAAGTAAGAAAAGCCATTACTCTTTGGCGCTGCAGGAACAAGTTGAACAAACATCATACTTCGAAAAACATCACTGACAAAACGTTTTCTTTTTGATAGATATCATGAGAGAATAATCCCCGAAATGGGGGAGCATGTTGAATATCCACCCGAATCAACTAAGCGTGTTATGCGGCTTTGTCACCCAAAAGCAATTTGGAACGTCCTTTCCTACGTCTCAGGCAGTAGTCTGCAATCACATCAACCATCTTCATCTAGGGAAACATGGCTGGGTCACGTAGACCACCTTCCATCCGTTGACTTTGTGCATTCTATCGGATTGCACCATCCGGCAGAGCAGTACACTGTCAGCACGAATGCCCGCCCGCAGAAGCAAGAACCACAGATAAGACGTATTTCGCCGGGAAATTCATCCACAATTATATCACAATCAGATGACATCTTGGCGCGTGAAGGCGACGTAGAACACAACTTGTACAGTGAAACAGATCAGCAACATATGCGTACTTTGACAAAGCTGCGGTTAGATACAGAAGGAATACGAATGAATCGACAGGTGAAACGCACATGTACGGAAAGTGATGCAGGTGAAGAAAGGATCTTGAAAAATGAAGACGTAATGGACTTTACCGCAATCAGCAGGACTCTCCAGATAAAATCTGATGACATAATGGATGGCAGCAAGTTGGATTCATATCACAGCATGGCGAAAATCGGTACGGGTGACGTGGTTTTTCCATCCCCTGCTAAGGCCCCGGAGAGTGGGAAGACAGATTCCGATGTGACTGGACCTGTAATACCAATTCTGGTAAGTTCTCATTGTTACACAGTGTGGTTTCGGTATGGTGTCTATAACGGCACAAAGTGCACCACAAATATATGAAGTTGACAGTGAGAGTAGTACTGTTGAGATGAGGTGCAGTATTTCATGTGTCCGCTGAGAGAGTAAATTCCCCTTAGAAACCTTTAGTCAAAAATATAGCAAGACAATGTTCATTTCCTTGATGGATTTAAAAGGTGTTAAAATCCCAGATTGGCTAGGCGATCTTGAACTAATCTTAGAACCGATCGGGTACACATAATCAAGAAATGGCTTGTCAATGGTCGGTTAGTATTGTGTGTTGGAACGGTGAAACAACAACAAGACGATGGAACTGGAGAAGAGCTCGTGTTTCCAAAGCAACAGTGTGTGCAACTCGAAGGCGGAGATACAAATAGTTCACTGCGATGAGTTCTTTTTGTTCCTAATGAAATCGTCAAGTTTCCGAGAGTTACGATTTTTACCAGCATTATATTAGTGGTGGATTTTCAGTTAATGCTCAGAAGTTCGCACTCATTTACATGGTTCCTTTGCTTTTGCTTCATTGTATGTTAATTTCGGTTTCATTGTCATGTCTACAGTAAAGACATGCTAGATGAGGAAAAGGTATTATATGCCAAGATGCTTCCACTTTAGTTCAAAGCTGAGACTATGAACTATGGTACTCCGCACAACGGCTGGAAGTAGTAGTAAAGAAAATAACCAAAATAGTGTAGGCGTTGTAAGAAATTTCCTTGGACTACCTGCTAACCTGAGAAAGACACCTGAAAAGTAACCATCCGTAGCCAAAACTGCCTATGTTGAATCTGCATTAAAAGTCGACATGCTCACATCGATATTGCAACCTTTGCAGAGCACACACATGCACACTATACACGTTAGCTAGAGGTGGGAAACACCTCATCTACTGTGCCGCGATACCTAAAAGAAAAAAGGGGAATAAAATGCAACAGGTGCAAGCCAGCTGAGCTACCGGTAACGGCTGGGCATCGTTCCGCTAAGCTACCTGCCGGCTACTATGTAGCAGAAAAAATAATTTACTATGCAAAATTATAAAATGCTAAATAACGAGATCGTGATTGGAGGGGGAGGCTAAGAGGGATGGGATGGGACAAAGAAACTCACAGCACGAACGCATTTGAAGAGTCTAGCTGCCTTCTTTGAATCGCTCACAAATATTGATCAAATGTACCTCACGAAGTGCAGTGTACTGATAGACCCCATTTCGACCGAAGTACACAATCGAGTGCGCTGTTCATGCAATGCTGTGGTTTTTATTGTGCCAGACAATGTAACAGTAAAACTGCTCGGAAAGTACTTCTTACTGCATGCGGTATGCAATCTTGTTGGTCCAGCTGCATCAGACTACACAAATATGTGGTGCGTTATGCGTGTCGCATAGTTTTCCTGTTTCAAAATAAACTACTTGCTAAACGATTCATTCAAAAGACGAATCTTGTTGTGCTTACTACAACTTTCAAACGTTTGAAAATTATGGAGGACCAAACCCCGCTACAACGAGAGATAAGGAGGCGAAAGTCAGAGGTAAACTAAATCACCAAACAGCCATCTGGCGCCCCGTATCCAGTTGATATTGCTCCACTTAGTGGCCACCACAAATTTGAGAATAATACTCCGATTGCTGCGAATAGGAATGATGCGATAAATAATATAGTGCTGTTTGAAACTCACAGTAGATCAACTGAATATGCGGACCGCTCTATTGCATCAGGTGCTGTGTAAGGTCAGAAGACCTAATTCTCGCACTTCGGAGTTAAACTCAGCTTCAGATGCAAAATTGGTCACTGGCAGACATCCGCCAGGCCGCAGTTTCACTGCTAAGCATGATAAGCTGATCAAGCCCAAAACGACTACGATCTACAAATCCATTGACGTGGATGATGCTTCCTCTTGGATAATCAGTTATGGCAGTCATATAGGGTTTCCTAATGTTGTTTCCTCCATTCGAAGTGACAACAATGTGGATCAGCGAATAACAACTGCATTACCTGCTAAATCGCAATTGCATACGAACCTACTACCTCAAGCCCCGACCTGTCATGTCCCACCTAAAGTCAGCTCTGGTCCATGTCCAAGCTCATCGAGAATATCGATAGATCTTGTCAAATTGATCGATAGTAAAAGGATGGTTGACCTAGATTTATCGCAAGCGTCACTTGGGGAATCTGTATCAACATTTTGTTTTGAGAGACATACAGCCATTCGTTATAAAGTTATAGAAGACCCTCCACTATCTTTACATCTTACATATAGTGTAATTGGGTACCACCGCTTTCCGATTCCATCAACGGACCACGCGGATTATGCTGATGGTGGCGTATGGATTGACACCAGTGTTCCTCCACCGCGTATAGTTAAGCCTTGTATATTGAGCGCAAGTAAGCGGATTTTACCCACAGATGGAAATGACAGCAACTCACTGATTTCTATCAATGCCTTACGTAATCAACAGCCTATTAGCGACATGATGCAGATGACACAACCTAAGACTCCAACCCACGAGCTATTACAACGATCATGGACTCTTTTCCTTGAACCATTTTCTAGAGGGCCGTACTCAGTCGCAACCTCTCCGCTGTGGCCACCTCCAAATTAGTTTCCACAGTTGGCAATACACGCAGGTTTTTAACAATTCTAGCTTGGGTCCAGGCAAACGGCTTGAAACCCAGTGTTTATAACATAACCTAAACAATCTTCCTCATATATTACATCTATCTGTTTTTGAAAAACATTCGGCCTCTTCACTCTAAGATCCACACACTACGCTTATTTGTTTTAGTGCATAATCCAGATATCATATTTGACTGAATCTTGGTGCCATGATGACGTCTGACAGTCAGTTAACTGTTTTGGGATATGACAAATTTATGAGAAATCGGCCTAGTCGTCGAGGTGGTGGCTGTGTAATTTATCTGAAAAAAATCGCTCGCAGCAACAACGTTCGAGAACCCAGTGCTGAATGATGTCCAGGAATCACTATGTCTTACGATATCTGTTAATCCGCAGCAGCTGCTCATGGGATTCACATACAGCGCGCCAAATTGCAGCCAAGAGGACCTAGGATTTTTGACGCCTGAATTTGAATGCGCTGCTAGCCTACCATTTATATATAAGGTTATTGGAGGTAATTTCAATCTGCCGTCGATTTCATGGCCTATGGGAACCGCTCCTTTGAAATTCCAAAATCTTATCTGCTGGATCCAAATGAATGACTGGCAACAACACGTCCCCCAACCAGTTAGAGGAAAAAGTACTTTGGATCTCTTTTTTCATTGGGCATAACTGCAATCAGTGTTAACGTTTTTGATGAGTTTCCGGGGAACGATCATCGCGTGATTAAATGCCGCCTACGACTACACATGGCCAGCCTACAGAACACAATGCATTATCGTCTGTTCAGTTCCGTCAACTGGAACTTTTTCAAGGAGCTGGTTAGTTCGATGAATTGGGATAAATTTCTCTCTTCATATCCAAAACAAACGACGGACCTGTTTTATAGTATAATTGGCTTCTGCATCGATTCAGCAATACCACTAAAATGTGCTTACCAAATTAAAGGTAAATCCAATCGTAAAGCGTTGAAAGCAGCATGGAAGCTTCATAGGATTAGGTAGAAATTCAGGTTAACTGCTGACTTTGCGCTGTTAGTACAGCAGTTGAAGCTCATGGAAGAACAGGGGCATCAAAATGATAAAATTCTCAGTCTAGAGGAGTAAAACGCTGAACGGCCATAGTAAAACAGCCGAACTAGTCAAACTATTCCGTGCTCGGGGTTCGCGCTGCAGCCACAAGCTCAATTTTATAACCACGTCTGATGGAACATACTTCGATGCACCAGGTGATATCTACGGATGTTTCAGTGCTTATTTTGCCGGATCAATAGGCAATAAATCATCGGACACACAAGCACTTAGCATGCCGCACAAGAGTGAAAGTCTATTCACAGTGGAATTCACTATGGCGAAAATCACTGGTCAAGTCTCTCGCTTATGCTCCTCAACTTGCGCAGGCCCTGATAGGAGCCCCCCCTTGTTTAATAAAAAGCAGTGGTAGAGACTTCCGGTTTTGCTCAATATCTTTACACACTCTTTTAACGACGGAGTATGCCCTACTCGACGGAAAACTTCTGTCGTTATCCTGCGACACAAAAATGGCGCTGTCCTTGAGGTTAAAAACTTTCGTCCCACCAATCACACACCCATCGTATCTAGAATAATGGTAAGGATAGTGAAAGATGAACTAGTTATATTCTTGAACAAAACTAACATCATTAGCAATTCGCAGCACGGCTTCATGCAAGATTGATCCTGTGCACATGCCAGACAGACTTTTAAAACCACATAACGACTGCCATAGACAACGGAAACAGTGTTGTACTGCTGTTCCTGGATATGCAAAATGCCTATGTTAGAGTGCCTCACAGAAGGTTACTGAACAGACCGAACGCTATAGACATTTTCTTGGCTGTCTTCCTATATAATTGCTAGTCAGCAGGTGGTGCGCATCGGCGACCATTTCTGTAAACCGAAAGCAATCACCAGTGGAGTGCTTCAAGGGGGTGTTCTTGGTCCTCTTTTTTTCTAATATATATTAACGATATGTACTAAAGAATAAAAATAGTTTTACATTTATCTTTAATGATGACACTAAAGTTGTCTACTCACAACAACTTGCGAATACCCAGGAAGCCGTACATCTCATTCAGAATGACCTATCTGCCCTTGACTCCTGGTGCCAACTGGGGCAGATGTCACTTGCCGTGGACAAATGTAATATTTTGTCGTACAAATGCCAAGTACCGCCAGACGGTTTATTACTACAAGGCGCATATATCTCGCAATGTAGAACAGTTCGTGACTTGGGCATGCAAAATCCAGTCACTTTTAACTTTTCTGCACATTGTGACTTATAAGTTTCGAAAGCCATGAAAACCACCGGTTACATCTGCCATCATTTGTACCTCACGG